TCTGACCATATCTGTTAGTAGTACTCTATGTATAATTCATCGCTCGCTCGAAGCAATGTTTCGTTTTCTATAGATAGAAAGACATTTAAAAACAGTGTGATATTATGGTATAATAATCTATGGTACGATGATTAGATTTATTTCGAAATGTAGGAGAAATATGTATTATTTAAAGTTAAAGGTTAAAGTTACAGCATATATACGTCCCACTGCTGGGCACAGGCCTCCTCTCATTTCTGAAAGGGTTTTAGGGCAAGGAAATGTCCGTCGCGCTGCCCCAATGCGTGTTGGTGAACTTCACATGTCTTCGAAATATTTTTTTCTTATTTCTCATACATGCAGGTTTCCTCACGATGTTTTCCTTCACCGACGACCACGTGGTAAATTAGCACTTAAAATTGCTGTTGACAATTTCATTGGTGCCGGCGGGGATCGAACCCGGGTAGCTCGCGTACTATAAAACTTATAGCGAGCACCAACCATCCGAGCTACCACGGCTGTATTATTTATTTACGAATAATTGTAAAGGCATTAATTTATGCACATAGCAAAAGGTTCTGAAAGCAGTAAGCAATACTTACTACTATGTAGGTAGTTTACGATTGCTAAACTGCAAAGCACTATTGCTTGCCGAACTTAGTACTTAAACCAACAATTAGTTAATAGAATCGAATTGTCTAATTGTTAAAAGATCGTCTTATTCAATACAATAAGCTTAATAATATTTGTTTTGTCGGGATGATGGTTCATAGTTATACCAGAATCCGATAGGTGGCACTGTTCTCAAGTTATGTAAAAATTATATTATTACGAACTCAAATGCCCCCATATTCACAAAATATGTTGGTATAGTGCCAAAAGAGAAAATCCAAAAAATCTGGATTATACTCTTTATAAATACGGTATAGGGATATTTTAACAACACATGAATTCCAAAGAGTAGATATGTCAATATTTTCGAAAACTTTATTTAATAATCTACCATTTTTTTTTATAAACCTCAGAATACAGTGAGATATAACCATTGACCTTAAATGAGAATTCAGATTTTTATGCAGAGGAAAAAAACATAAGTGTGAAAACTGTACATCATGAAAGATTTATTTTTACATTAAAAAATAAAATAAAGTAAAAACCTTTACAGGGCGGCTATTTATTAACAGTTGATAATCAGTAAAAGCAACCATGATATTCATAATGCATCTGCACCGGTTGGGCAGGTCATCGGTCGTTGCATTACCTACGAATAATGCATTACCGGCGTGACCTCTTCCTTCTGTTTAAACTCAGGATATTAACTTTTAATAGACCGATTTAAATTTAACTCAACTAATAAGCAAATACAGAAAAATAATTTTTAAAGGCAGCTCACGGTACGCTCAGAATATAGTGAACAAAATAAACATCCATCGCTCGTTTCTCGATCGCTTATTAACGTAGTATATCGGTCTGTTACGTATATATATATATGTATACTCGTAATATATACCGTATTAACTTTCTGAATGCGATAATATTTATAAGTCACACGCGTAATGTAGGTCCTACTGAAATGCATAAAAAGTTGTTCTTCTGTGATCCAATTATATATATAATATATACTAGCTGTGCCCGCGGCGTAGCTCGCGTATAAAGGTTTTACATAAACAATTTGTCGTTTAGGTAAGAGAATATTAAACGATTTATTTCATTACTGTATCAATAAGTGGTAACTAAATAAATCATTATCATCAAAGTTCTAAGTCGTTTATGATAGAGCTTCTGTGTAAACGACGTGAGAAGTAGGCTTAGCCGGGGTGTACACTAAAAGGTTACGGGGGCTACTAACGCGGGAAAAAGCAACATAGAGTTGGCCATGTGCAAAACAGTCAGTACTGAGGTACACTCCTAAAACGCGTAAAGTTTGACCTTGCGCTTTATTTACGGTCATCGCATAACACACGCTCACTGTAACTGGGAACTGAACGCGCTTAAAACTGAAAGGAAAGTTACTTCTTAATAGAGGGTTTTTGGGCAGTGTTGCCAGATAAAAAAAAACTAATTCAGCTCTAGGACAACACAAAAAGCGCTAGATTTCATGAAAACAGCGCTTTAAAAAAGCCCTAGATTTCGCGCTAAATTAACTACAAACAAAGTTTGTGTTTTTTTATATAATCATAATAAAGAAAACAACATTAACTTTTTTTTCTGGCAATATTTTTTGATGTATATATATCTCTACTTCGCAGGACATCGACTTATAATTATGGCAATTGCTGTCAACAGTAGTTAGTACTGTACGAACAATAAAAATGTCATTAATTGTTTTAAAGTGCAATGTATTTCGCAACTTAGTTTCAGATGTCAGCATCTGATTGCGGTTGCTACACAGTTTCTTTGTGTTATAACTTCTAAGTAACTTTTAACTTAGCTGTGCTCTAAGCAACTGACTGAAACTGAATAAAGCAAAATAAATGGGTTGCCAAAACCATGAACAAAAACTTTAATAAAGGGGATTTCCCCGCTTATAGACGTCGGTAAAAAAATCAAGTTGATCATCCTAAAGGGGAAGCCAGGAGATCCATAGCACAGGATATCCTAGTTTGGACTCGTCTCCCATGCTCTTTGTTTTGTGGAAAAAATATGTTTGAAAAAGATAAACTGCAATGTACTATTTGTGGGAAAAAATAATAAAGGTCATTATTATTATTATCGGTAATGTGGACTAACAGTGCTGCTATAAAAGAGTTAATAACCCGCTAGTCGCTAAAATATTGAAATGTGTGCTAAATACACCAAAAAGCGCTGGATTAAGCTAGGTGCTAAAATTTCGAAATGCGCGCTATACATTCCAAAAAAGCGCTAAATCTAGTTCCCAAAGCGCTAAAATGGCAGTACTGATTTTGCGTATATTATAAATACAATATCACGACATTTCGTTGCAAAATTTTTATTTTTGATCGTATTCCGTTGTATGGCTTCGATGGATACCAATTTCTTCAGTAAGTCTCAATACGATTCATCGGCGAAAAATCTCAACACAGCAATTCAGAAAAGTTTGTAATTTGTACAACTCCATCTATTACCTACGTCCTTTGTGTGAGAAAACATCCTTTTTAAATCTCTTTTTGTGTTTTAAGTATAAATATATTAATTATTATGGAACGTTTTTTTTTACACACAAATCTTTTTATTACTATTTCTGAGATTTTATGGCGCCATTGAACAAATTCGAACCTACATTTCAAAATAATAATCATTACTTTCGATAGAATTAACCAATTTTAATAAAACAAAGATTAAATGTAACTCGAAGATACGCTTTATGATTTTCTTAACGATTTCTTTGAAAATAAAAGATGTTTACTTTAGACGTGATGCGTTCATATAATAACAGACAAATAGACATACAGACAATTCTAAAAATTATAAAATGTTCTTATTTAATTATTTTCAGTTCCCCATAATGATTTTAGCCACCAAAATATATACCTATACAATGTACAGAAAGAGACACAACATGTTATCATCATTTTTATTATATGTATATATTTAAAGAGAGATGGCGCTGCTAACATCAATTCTAAAAATAAAAGAGAGTAATTGACGCGGTTGATACATTATATAAAACGCAAGAGAACTTATAAATCAGTGCCTGCACAGTAAGCAAAAAATAAAGTTTGACTCTCGCCAAAACCAACGATTTGTTAATAGCTCTTTTAAAATTTGATTTACCACATAGAGTACTCGGCGGTAAAGAATAAATTGAGTTTGTGAACACGCAATAGGGCAGCGAGTAATATAATAAAGATTAGCAGTAAATATGAAAACTCATCTACAGGAAAAAAACACTTTGCAATTGCATTACATTTTCACAACACCACCATCTATCGAAGAAATGGGAAAACTATTGTGCTTGAGATTTAGTTAATAAGGTTAATATAATTATTTTTGTATAATATATTTAATACGTTCTTTAATATTTTTGTTTACTGCGTTTTAGATATACATAATTATATCATTATTTTACATAATTTAACTATGATTTATGATATGATATTAGTTTAAAATGCACTTGATGACTCAAACAAAGCCACCGTTGAGCAAATTCGTACCTATACTTCCCTACCCATACTTCTGAATATTTATCATAACTTTTGATGGAATGAACTGATTTTAATGAAATAAAGACTAAATGTAACCCGAAGATACACTTTATAATTTCCTTAACAATTCTTATGATATAAATTAGTACTTTATACGTGATACGTTAACAAACAAACAGACAGACAGACAGACAGATAGACAGACAGAAAATTCTAAAAATGGTAGAAATGTATTTAATTACTTATTTTTAGTACCCCTCAATCACTTTTATTACAAAAATATAAAATGTACAGACATCTGCTATTTTCAGTTTTATTATATGTCTAGCCCTTTCGCACCTGAGATATTTGTTCCTTTGATTTGAAATGAAAACTATAATATTTTGGCAAAGAAGTGGTAATATTAATGTAAAAAATAGTAAAAAAAATCCAGCGTACACCAGAACTCTGGAAAGTCGATAGCACGATAGTGAGCTCTAGGGCTGACTTCTACCAACTCACGATCGTGCGTTTTTAAGTTTTGATGAGATTTTAATGCATTGATGGTGTCAGCTTACTTCAAAAAATATTTATAATGAAATAAAACGCATCTGGTTATTAGAAAAGACTTATTTAATTATTGCCAACATTACAGTTTAGGTACAAAATTTCAGTCTTTTGTTTTCATTGTAATAAAAATGCTCTTTCAGCAGACAACTTAGAAATTAAAAGAAAGGAAACAAAAATATTTTTACGAAATAAACAATGAGATAAAGTCATGCTTCTTAGGAAACAAAAACTTAACACAAAAACATAGAAATCAACTTAAAAGCCTTTCTGGCTGTACAAAAATAACATAAAACTTAATACTTAGATAATCTTTTGAAATATCTTTCTAAATCACAGTCTTTACATAGGAAACGTTATCAAATAAGACTAGTTTCTTTGGTGATATAAAAAAAAGCAGTCTTTATCACGACTCAAGCATAAGTAAATATCACATTTACGGCACCTAATTTTAGAGCGAGATGAACAAATCTCTAAGCGACATTTGCGAGGAGCCTTCAAGTCGTCAAAAATAGGAAAATGTTCGTAACCATCAAACCTCTTTCCCACAGACGGATGATTAGCGGGTTTGTATCTGCCCGAAGTTTGTGCCTGCGTTTCAAGTAATGGGGATGAATCGCGCCGATCTCTGTCAGGAGTGCAGATGTGTGTCTCAGCAACTTCAAATCTGAATGAAAGGAGATCTAATATTCGATTTTTAGGAATGCCTTTAGCCAATGAGTCAGATCTGTAAAGCCGCCACGAATTTACCATTGCTAGGTCTATAAAGTGTAGTATGACCTTGAGAGTCCATTTACGGGTCTTCATGAATGTACGGTAATATTCCATAGATTGGTCCAAAACATCCACCCCGCCCATGAAAGAGTTGTAGGATGTTACAATTTTTGGAGCACCAACATCGACGTAGCATTTTTCTGTTTTATTGTACCGCTTTACTATGTCGGTTGCCGTGCCCCCAGTACAATTTGATGCTTTCAATACCGCCTTGCTGTCCTTCCATTTTACCAAAACTACGTCGTTTGATACCCTTTGTTCAATTTCTCCTCGTGTCATTTTTTTGTCATCTTTGAACTTAAGCTGCTGTCGATCTGGTACCCGGTTAAGCATAATTGTCCCTGTGCCATGGCACAGGGACAATTATGCTTAGGGAAGAATTAACGAAAATGGACTATCATGATAGTCCATTTTCGTTAATTCTTCCAACACCGTTACAACTTTCACCGTTACAAAAATTCTTACAACACCGATATTTTACACCGGGGAACCGTTGTAAAATATCGGTCAAAAAAAATGCAGCTCCCGCGTGGAACACTTTGACTCAAGCGAAGAACTACAGCCGGTCCAAGCCCCAAAGGATGCGAAAGAGCGGGATTATTGCCATAGTATATTTCAAAATCCACCATTAGCCCTTCACTAGTAGTAACCACGAAATTCTTAAGACCCACTGGGCGAGGCTTGTTCTTTACAAGCTGGCGAAGATGACACTTGCCAGTGAAAGGTATCATTTGTTCGTCGATCGAATACCTGCCCGGGGTCCTTAGAAATTTTGTTGCAGCCTTCTCTCACAATGTCGATCATCGGCTGAACCTTCCAGAGAGGATTATTTGCTTCCGAAACGGGTGGAGAGTCGGAATCCACGACGTGCAAACTGTTTCTTAAAGTTGTCAGTCTATCTCTTGTCATTGCAGAAACAATCATGTCAACTTTAATATTTCTTCGCCAGTACATTGCGATCCTGGGATATGATAGTATACCCATCAGTAGATGGATACCAATCAGTTTTTTTATTTCCGGTTTGGTTGTATTTAAGACTCGCCCAGTTTTTCTTAAATAGTATAAGTTTGTACACAATGCCATGCGCTCGTAAAAATTATCATTATAATAATCATTATAATATTCAACCGGCGATCTTATTTCATTTGGTTGTGGATGACCTGAGTAGTTATGTGATTTATCGATGTAATCAGTTTTCTTCCATAACCTTTTACGAGCAGGCAATTTCACTATAACAGCCTTTGATTTTTGTGTTACTTTTGAACAAGGTGTTTGTTTTGACTTTTTAGAACAAGATGGGCCTGCTTCACTCTCATTCATGTTATCAGATGTAGACTTCCTTTTAGACACTTTACCTTTAATATTTTCCGATTTCACAGCTGTCGCAGATAAGAGAGGCGGAGAGGATAGCTCAACTTCACCTTCTTCATCATTTTCCAGCTGCAGAGGAATAAACTCTTCATCGTCGTCGTCGAAGTCCAACTCGGAACAGTTACCATCATTGAGGATGCCCAAGACGAGGTCATTGTTCAATGGCATGCCTGTAGTTAAAGAAATAAATCGAAAAATAACTTAAAAGTGAATGAACTCACGATCATGCGTTGGTACAATTGCAAACCAGATATCACGACAGTGAGCTGACAATTTTGTCGTAAATTAAGTTGGTAATTACTAAAAATATAGAAGAAAGTTATAGTCATTCAGATGAATCATATACTTAATGATGTAATACAATCATAATATCAATGATTTCTTACGAAATTTGCAAAAAAATAAATATAACTTACGGCGTCCAGTGACGGGGTCAAGAAACGCAGCCATCTTGTCGGTGCGCTCGCGGGTACTGATCGCGCTAGACGCCAAAACCGTTTCCTATTGGATAGATTGATGAGCGCACGACCATGCGATGTCGGTTTAACGCGGAGAAACGGATTTGGCGCGAACTTATAATTTTTCAAAGAAGAAACTCACGATCGTTGCATTCGGGTGCGAAAGGGCTAGATATATATATATATATATATATATATATATATATATATATATATATATATATATATATATATATATATATATATTATATATTATATTATATATATATATATTATATTTTTTATTACCATTTATATCTTATGTATTTTATTTCGATGTGCTACAATTTTTTTTTTGTTATTTTAGTTTAGTATTAACATATTACCTTTTTATTACTCCTACTTCATTATATCTCTGCATCATCCCAAGGTAGACTGGTAGAGAATGCCTTAGGCATTAAGTCCGCCTATATACCACATTTAATTAAAATTTTCGAGAAAATTCCGCAGAGCTCTTCTTCGGAGCATATCCCAAGCACGCTCAATGGGATTTAAATCTAGGGATTGCGCGGACCTTGACATCATGTTCGTGCAACCAGGCTGTTACCACCCTGGCCGTATGTGAACGGGCATTATCGGGCATAAGCAAGAAATTTTGAACCATTTGTGTTTGATGTGGTAAGACTATTAGTTCTAGCACTTTATAACGGTATTTTTCAGCCGTAAAAGTGTCATGTATCCAAACGAGGTCTGTTCTTCCATCAAAAGGAACTCCGGCCCCCACCATACCACCTTTGTATGGATAAACTTCTTGAGGGTGTTAAAACCGGCTTGTACGACCAGGAAATCTCCAAACACGTACTCTCCTTGAATCAGGATAAAAATCAAATCGGGATTTATCCGGTGAAAAGCACCAAAGATTCTTGATGAGGTTCCCAGTTCACATGTTCTCTAGCCCATTGCAGCAGTAGTTGGTCAATGTTATTAAAATATTCCTATACCGTGTAGATGTGTTTAATAACACTACAAAATCCGGAGTGAATTCGGAGTAAAACTTATACGTCACTTACTGGAAAAGGCAGAACAACGTTTCCCGAGCCAGCTAGTTTAATATACATATAATATCATTATTAAACAGTATAACTTTCAGTGTTCAGAATCTCAGTAAATTATAATATTATTATATTCAGTTCATGTAGGTGTTACTAACTATTGCTTCTAATTTAACCCTCTTGCTTACCCGTGTACAATATATAGTTATTTCATTGCTATTGTCTTACTATTGTGTCTGAAAATCGGACAGTGAAAGTGTTAACTTTTCTTTGCTCAGTTTTTCTGACATATTGTAATTTGTTCGTGAGATTAGAGTTACGGAGCAATTAGTTCACCGTGCTGCTCCAGTGAGCGGCTGAGCCACCATGGCAATACTATTAGACAGTAGTAAATTAGAAGTAAGAACTGTCTGGAGTGAAGATGTTTAATGTTAACGGGATACTTAAATAGATTTATGTATTTTAATACGCAAAAATCACTAATATGATGTCGTAATAGATTTTTTTATTTAAAAAAAAAACTTTACCCCCACACTAGGATTTTCTCCTGTATCGTGGAGGCAGTTTACAAACACAAATTGCACAAGCACAAACATCCAGACCCGGAACAATTATTTGTATGCCATACATATACTTGTTCCGTGCGGGATTCGAACCCGCGGCCCCCAGCGTAGCAACACATTTCTAAGCCACTGCGCCACGGGGCCGTCCACTGAGATGCCACTCGGTAGAAGAAAAAAACTAAAATAATAATCATCTCCAGAAACCCAAAGACATTTGAACTTCATTCTTTTATTGCTGGATGTGACTACGTTTTATTTGTGAGCAAAGATCAAATCCAACTCCAAGTCAAGTATTTAAAATTCAGTAACTCGCAGCGCTCAGTCGACTCTATACGTGTCTGACTCGTGCCACTTAACGCAACAAAACATAGGAGATATCATAAAAGTATACAAGTTTTTTTTTTAATTTGTACGTGTAGTTATATTGCTTATACTAAGTAATAATAAGTTTTGTTTTGATATAAATTTAATCATAATTTTAATGGCCATTGGAAGTTTCAAGGCGGTGCGATATTTCAGTGCGCAGGCAGTTAGCCAAACTTCAGACAAACATTGCTTTTGACGCGTTTATAGTGTAGTGACACAGTTTACGGAAATAAACAACAACACGCACGATTGTGAAAAACTGTAATTTAGCTAATAATAAACATAAGAAACTGGGATTCGTTTAAACTAAATCCAGTACCTATAATGATTATAAAGTGTGTCTAATAAATAATAAATGGTTTTTTACTTATCAATGTAGAGACAATTTTCTTTGCAAACACCTTAAATACTCATAATGTAATATATGCATTACAAATAATTCCTTTTTTTTGCGTAAATTTGAAAACTATGAGTGTCGAATCGTCAAAACCGATTCGAAGTAGTGAAGAAGGACTTCAATCTCAAGACCTATCAATCAGAAGTCCAACGAGGCGAGTCTTACCACCTAAAAAATCTCTTGCTCTCAAGTTATGGGACTTATTACAACCACTAGCGAGATTATGGGGACTTGTTACTGCTGTTGGTAAGTGTTTGTACAATGTCAATTTTATATTTTATTTAAATTGCGCAGTTTAAAATTTATGCAGTAGGTTTATGTAAGACATGTAGAGTCATTAATTTACTTTATAACACTAGATTTACTATTAGTTTGAAATTTAGAATCCGAAACTAGAAAAATAAAGAATTAATTAATCTCTGATATCCTGTCTATAAAACATTTACATAAAAGGGATTAAATTAAAAAAAATTGTACAACCGACTTCAATATATATTATTAAGAATAACTCAAGAACTACTAGTCAGACCTTGATCAAATTTACATGGAACTACATGAGAAGCACCAGCTTTCAAATAAAAAAGAATCATCGAAATCAGTTTACCGACACAAAAAAAAACACACACACACAGTCGAATTGTTTCAGTTATTAATTCAAATCGCTTAACAGAAAAACCTACAATACATTATTTATTTCATACTAACAAGTGGGATGCGGGAAGTAAAGACTTTGTAAGAACCTCCGAAGAAGGCGGAGTTATAGCCCAAATAAGAATTTATAATTTTTTGGTTTTTGGCCATTTTGACCCCTAGGAGTTTAATGAGAACTTTTTGCCCCTATTCAACCATGACCCCCATGACATCCTCTTCATGATAGGATATTCAAACTGACTAGGCCTAAAGTTCGAGTCACGCCCAACTCATTTCTAGTCTTTACTTCCAAATTACTTCCAATTACTTCCAATTACTTCCAAATAAATACCTATATTAACAAAAAAAAAATAAACATAAATAATTTCAATATTACTAATCGATCAAATATATCATATAATAATAAATATGTATTTATGCGTGGTTACGGTTTCAGTTTTTTATATCAGCACTTCATTTTCCTTCAAGAAAAACCTTTTCATTTCCAAAATTGCGTCATTGGCCATGCATGCTTGAAAGCAGATTTTTACAGTGTAAAAATCTGTTATTATCAAGTTTTTCGTCAACACTTTCACTGTCCGGTTTTCAGACAAAATAGTCAGACAATAGCAATGAACGATATGTATGTCACAGGACAGTCATTTTGAACCACATGAAACCATTGAATTTATTAATGCAATTTACTACGAGTCAAGGGTTAGTTAGGGAAAGGGAAGTAGAGGGAGAAGAAATTTAAAAATAATTTCAACACGTATGAAGTTAGACTAAGAAAAGTTATACTGCCATTGAACAAAGTTATTTTCTGTAACTTTTTATGAGTGCGGCTTAAGACGTACTCGTACTTTCGTTATTATGTAATAGAATCGCGAAATTAGAATAAAATTTTCTTAATAAAATCTTAATCCAACAAGGGTATGTCTCCAAATTTTAACAAAATAAGAATAATAGAAATATTTACGTAAGTTAACAACAATTAGTATCTAAAGAGAAGGTCTCGCCCTTGCCGTCAGTAGTTAATTTGTCTTGTCTTTTTTCCAATCCCGTAGGTAGTGTAATATACACATTTAAGTACGTTCTCCTAGTGGTTACAGCACAGGTCTAATTTCATTAGATTTTGGTGCAGAAAATAATTCATCGCACTGCCCGAAATGTATTTTCACAATTTCATGTCCTTGATTTTTCATTTCCTTAACATGTAGTTTTCTCTTCCCATGTTTCTTGAAATAGCTATATAATTAATGTGATACCGCTGGCGCCGACGGCGAGCGTTAGTTTCTAAGATATACCAAGGACCTAGAGCTTGGCGTTCGTATTTATACATTTATGCCCAACCCTGGGTATAATGTGTTATATAAGGTGTTAAAAGTAATATAGCGTTATATAGACTATATTTAAAGGTGTACCAATATTATTATGGACTAACGTTTTTATTACATACTAGCGATCCGCCCCGTCTTCGCACGGGTGATTTATGGATGTTGACAACAGTGCCATCTATCGGGTCCAATTGTGAATAGTTTAGATCATCCAGGGACCCACTCAAACACTTACAAAAATACATTAAAAACGGTCCAGTCATTTTCGAGTTTTGCGAGACTAACAGACAGCAAATGATTTTTATGTATAGAGATTATTTATTACAAATACTGCTAATTAGTTTTATGGATAATGTAAAATAATTTTGTTGATCTAACAACGTGTTATTAAACTATTTATAATATATCCAAACGTACACGTTAGATATTTCTGAAAAAGTTATCACTAGCTTGAATTTAAACCCCTTGCACACAACTCAGTATTGAAATCACAAATCCATGCATTCGTATGGTTTCATGATTGATGATAACTATTAGGACTATATATGTTACCAGGATGGGCTGCGATGGCTATCCGAGTACAAAACCAGAGTACGAAACCTATCCAACTACAGAGAGGTGTAATACAGGGTGACATAATATTCCTGAAACTCTTCACCGCTGCATTGGAAGACGTCTTCAAGCTACTGGACTGGAAAGGATACAGTATTAACATCACCGGCGAGTACATCACTCACCTTCAATTTGCCGATGATATAGTCCTTATGGCAGAATCGCTGGAGGACCTAAGCACTATGCTCAATGACCTCAAAAGTGCCTCCCAACGGATAGGTCTTAAGATGAACATGGACAAAACAAAGATCATGTATAACGTCCATGTCACACCTATGCCGGTAGTTGTTGGGAGCACTAAGCTCGAAATTGTTGACGAGTATGTTTACCTGGGACAAATAGTCCGACTTAGTAATTCCAACTTCGACCGAGAGGTCAATCGCCTGATTCAACTCTGCTGGACGGCGTCCGAGAAATTACAGCACATCTTCTCGTCAGGTATACCTCAAAACTTGAAAACTAGACTGTACAACCAGTGCGAGTTGCTAGTGATGACCTATGGAACTGAGACGTGGTTCTTCAATGCTGGCTGGATGAGGAAGCTCAAGAACGCTCAGCGAGCTTCATAGCTAGTATTTGTATGGCCTACAAATAATTGTTCCGGGTCTGGATGTTTGTCCTCGTGCAATTTATGTTTGTAAACTGCCTCCACGATACGTGGGGGTAACGTTTTATAAAAAAGCCTTAGTCTTAGTTTTATAAACAAGTTTATTAAGCATTATATTAAGCCCTTTACCAGCGTAAAATAGCGACTTATTGTTGTCGTTATGCGTATGGTGAGTGTAGAGAACCAGACCTTTTTATTGGTAACTAGCTTTTTACCCGCGGCTTCGCTCGCGTGCGCTTGAATTTAGGGACATCATTAAATGCTGTTCCCTGTCAAATTTAGAAATATTTGATCACTTTTAGAGTCACCTTGATGTCTATGTCTCTATATCTGTCAGAGATTTTTTTTTTCATTCTAAAATACGACGGCGGCACTGAAAATTTCGGGAATCAAGGAAGTGACACAACATTACTATTTAAAAATGTATTTATTTGCTTTTCGAAGTATTTTCCGCGACATTTGACACATTTTTCCATACGATGTAACCAATCATTGAAGCAACCATGCCATTCGGAAGTTGGGGTCTCCAAAATGGCCGTTTTGTAGGCGTCCACAGCTTCTTCAGGTGATGAAAATCTCTGTCCACGCAATTTATTCTTTATTTTAGGGAAAGTATAGAAATCATTAGGGCTTAGGTCGGGGCTGTACGGCGGGTGGTCTAATAATTCTATGTTTTCTTGCTCTAAAAACTCTTTTGTTCTGTGTGCGGTGTGAGAACTCGCATTGTCGTGATGGAGGATGATGCGGAGGTTGCAGTTCTCTTTACGGAGTTCAGAAACGACCTGTGGCAAACAAATGCTAGCATACCATTCTGCATTAACCGTTCTTTGTCCCTCAAGAGGAATAGTCGTAACATGGCCAGTTTTGGAGACAAACGTGGCAACCATTTTTTTTGCAACACTCCGTGAACGAACAATTATTGTTGGCTTTAACTCATTTTTGAACACCCAAACTCATGACTGGTTTTTTTGTTTCGGGTTCGTACGCGTATATCCAGGATTTGTCACGTAATACGATGTTGTATACAGCATTTGAGGATCCTGCGTGGAATCTTTCGAGAGTTCTGACGCACCAAGTAACGCGAGCCGCTTTTTGCTCTTCACAGAGCGAATGCGGTATCCATCGGGAAAACAACTTTTTTACACCTAATTGTTCATGCAAGATTATTTGTATTTGACTCATGCCAATGTCTAAAGTTGCCTGAATTTTGCGGTATGTACATGTCGATCTTCCTCAATCAGCTTACGCACAGCATCAACGTTTCTTTGGGTGACTGCATTTTTTGGACGACCTTAACGGGGATCAACACTGAGCTTGACACGTCCACGTTGAAATTCAGCAAACCAGCGATAAATTGTGGTTTTGGATGGGGCTTCATCACCAAATCCAGAAATCATCCGGTCAACACACAGTTTTTGTGTTAAACCACTTCGAAAGTCATAATAAATCATCGCTCTTGAATTTTCTCCAGTCAATTCCATTTTCTCAACGACTAAACAAGTTTGACGAAACCTTGTGACAAGACCAAGAATCTTTTTTTTAAATAAATAAATGGTATTCGATTTTCAAAACCAAGGAAATTTCAATTAAAAAAAATTTAATATGACAGGAACAGTGGAAATATTCCATTCCCGATACTTTTAGTGCAGCCCTCGTACTATTAGACGTAGATGATTGGTAACATGCTACAGAAACACGTGAATATACTTATAATATGTCTAGAAACTCCTAGTATTTTTTTTATATATGGCGTGTCTTCCGATTCCGATGTATCCATAAGAAAGGTAAATAGTCTTGAAATCAAAATGTATTATTATTATTTACATTTTACTCTTTACATATATATATTCATAGTTAAAGTAAATATAGTTTTAACAAAGTAATATAATGTTTATTTGAGACATTTTATTCATATCATTGGTCCTATTTAATATTGATTGGCACCATAAAAAGATATAGATATTTTTATTTACTTCGAGTAGACTTGAAAATTTCATAAATACAGTTCTATAATAATGAATACCACACATGGATTAAAACTAATGTTACGGGTTTTTTAC